CCAGAAAGTTAATTGTTATGTCATGCACAATTCGTGCATTTGTTGTGTAATTAGCAAACTTGCATGAAACTCTGGATATATTTGAGGAATAACATTCTAATGTTCATGCCAGTGTCGACATTGGCAAGTTCCTGTGATAAAAATCAAATGGCAATAAAATATTATCCAAACTTTTGTGGGAAGATACATTACTAAGAGGAAATAGGAGTTTTGTTCCATAATCATCAACTTTATATGACCGAGGTATTATTACTTATCGTCAAATTTCATAGACGCAGAGATATTGGGTTGTTAAGTAAGTTTAGAGTATGTAGAAATCTATGGAATGGTGTGGCATGCATGCATCCAACAGAACCAAGGTGGTGTTAGTGGCATCCAATCCAAAATGGCGTTGGTGCATCCAACACAAAAATGGTGTTAGACGTTTCCAAAACCAAAATGGTGTTGGACACATCCAAAACCAAAATGGTGTTGGACACATCCAAAACCAAAATGGTGTTGGACACATCCAAAACCAAAATGGTGTTGGACACATCCAAAACCAAAATGGTGTTGGACATATCCAAAACCAAAATGGTGTTGGACACATCCAAAACCAAAATGGTGTTGGACATATCCAAAACCAAAATGGTGTTGGACATATCCAAAACCAAAATGGTGTTGGACACATCCAAAACCAAAATGGTGTTGGACATATCCAAAACCAAAATGGTGTTGGACACATCCAAAACCAAAATGGTGTTGGACACATCCAAAACCAAAATGGTGTTGGACACATCCAAAACCAAAATGGTGTTGGACACATCCAAAACCAAAATGGTGTTGGACACATCCAAAACCAAAATGGTGTTGGACACATCCAAAACCAAAATGGTGTTGGACACATCCAAAACCAAAATGGTGTTGGACACATCCAAAACCAAAATGGTGTTGGACACATCCAAAACCAAAATGGTGTTGGACATATCCAAAACCAAAATGGTGTTGGATACATCCAAAACCAAAATGGTGTTGGACACATCCAAAACCAAAATGGTGTTGGACACATCCAAAACCAAAATGGTGTTGGACATATCCAAAACCAAAATGGTGTTGGACATATCCAAAACCAAAATGGTGTTGGACATATCCAAAACCAAAATGGTGTTGGACACATCCAAAACCAAAATGGTGTTGGACACATCCAAAACCAAAATGGTGTTGGATGCACGAAAAAAAAATGGTGTTGGACGCATCTAAAACCAAAATGGTGTTGGTATTCCATGGTATTCAAAATGGTTTGGTCAGCAGGGATGAAAACATTCTGCCCTATAAATGCGGTTAAATGTATGGTCAGATACTAGCTGGAATATAATATTGCAGAGTTTATTATATGTATACGTAGTCAATTCTGAAATGAGACACAAGGGTTTTAAATTAAATTAAACTAGGGTTTTGCCTTGGCATTAGAATGCTGTTTTTAGGTTTTGTTATCCAAGTGAGTATATATACACTTTAAGACCTCACCAGGAACGACTGCGAAAAATGCAGCACAAGGTCCTCTGGTAGGATTTGAACCTATGGCCCTGTGATTCCAGTGCAGCGCTCTAACCAACTGAGCTACAGACTACAGAGGCCAGCTGTTTAGCTGTAACTGTAAGTTCATGGATATATAGGTGATCGGGTGTGCAGGTTGTGATAAGGTGGACTTCAATGATCTGGTTTCTTGCACTTCACTTGGTGGAATTAATATCAGAATGCTGTTTTTAGGGTTTGTAATCCAAGTGAGTATATATACACTTCAAGACCTGACCAGGAATGACTGCATAAAATGTAGCACAAGGTCCTCTGGTAGGAATTGAACCAACGGCCCTGCGATTGCGGTGCAGCGCTATAACCAACTGAGCTACAGAGGCCAGCTGTTGAGCTGTAACCGTAAGTTCATGGATATATAGGTGATCGGGCATGTGGGTTGTGATAAAGTGGACTTCAATGATCTGGTTTCTTGCACTTCACTTGGTGGAATTAATATTAGAATGCTGTTTTTAGGGTTTGTAATCCAAGTGAGTATATATACACTTCAAGACCTGACCAGGAATGACTGCATAAAATGTAGCACAATGCCTTCTGGTAGGAATTGAACCAATGGCCCTGCGATTCCGGTGCAGCACTCTAACCAACTGAGCTATAGAGGCCAGCTGTTGGGAGGTGCAAGTAACCAGATAATTGAAGTCCACCTTATCACAACCCGCACACCCGATCACCTATATATACATGAACTTACGGTTACAGCTTAACAGCTGGCCTCCGTAGCTCTGTTGGTTAAAGCGCTGCACTGGAATTGCAGAGGTTCAATTCCTACCAGAGGACCTTGTGCTGCATTTTCACAACCCGCACACCTATATATATATATATATGAATTTATGGTTACAGCTCAACAGCCCTAGCTGGCCTCTGTAGCTCGGTTGTTTAGAGCGCTGAACCGAAATCGCAAGGCCGTAGATTCAATTCCTACCAGAGAACTTTGTGCTGCATTTTTCGCAGTCGTTCCTGGTCTGGAATTACAGTGTATATATACTCATTTGGATTACAAACCCTAAAACCAGCATTCTAATATTAATTCCACCAAGTGAAGTGCAAGAAACCAGATCATTGATTTTGCCTTGGCCACATGTTTCATGGCTTGTGTTTAGACGTTAGTCCTACATAAACTCGATGGTTTCATTTATAAGGTTAAAAGCAAGGCACGGTTTGATCATTTATCAATTTCCTATTAACAGTATCAACTATCAAATATTAGTATCGTCACAATATTAGGAGACACAAGGATACACAATATTACATAACGCAGCCTATTGTAATATATCATGTAGCCAATTCACTTGATACTGAAGTGTCTCTGTCAGAACTTGGTTCTGATCTGTCTGTGTCAGGTTTGGTAGTGCCAACAATAACAAGCTTTCGCTCGTAGGGATGCAACTACCTCACTACCTGAAAAAAATGTCGACGTTTCGAGCGAAGGCCCTTCGTCTGTAGTATTAAACTCAGTAACTTACTAACTCCAGACAAAGAGCCTGCGCTAGATACGTACACATTCTCCTTATATTTATCAGGTAGTTGCATCCCTACCAACGAAAGATTGTTACAAGGTTTTAGAAGCTACTATATATTTGAAAACTTACCCTCTGGCAGTCTCGCTTCTGTATTACTGAGCGTTGCAAAATCATGTTGTTGACATATATAATACGGCAAACCGCCAGACACATGCACAGCTTCTGGTGTTATCATTTAGAACAGTTTGTCTCTCTGAATGTAAGTTATAATTTATAAACCGTTTGCCGAGCGAAATCAGGAATCAGCAATAACAAATATAATTCATAATCTAAACAGCACAGGGCCGTAGCAACCGGGGGGGGGGGGCTGGGGGGGCTGCAGCCATTCTTTTTTCAAAATCATGCAAACTTTATCATTTAATCTGTGACAAACTGCAAAGAATGAAGATATTACTCATACTCCAGATCGTTCCTCGCGTAGAAATTTTAGCTGAATTTCTGTCGCGCATTTTCAAGAAAATCCCACAAAATCTACACATTTTTGATGAACTAATGATTTATTTTGTCTTTTGCGTGTTGGGTCTTGCGAAAGAAAACTCTGAAAATGCCATTTCAGACCATCTAGAGACTCCAGATTTTCGAAATTTTCTCAAATGTTCTGCCTTCATTTCCGCGCAACTGCCATTTACGACGAAAATTCCCGCCGCGCATTTATAATACTACAGTCTGGCCCATACTTTCCTGTAAATTTCGACATACTAAAACGCTGTTTTCTGACTATCAGAATTCTGTTAAATCTTCCCCCAAAGTCCAGGAAATGGCATTTTAGAGACTCTAAATTAAAAAATTTCCTCGGGCCTTCGGCCCTCGCTTTCAGCCCCCCAATCAAAAAGAGCTTCCTACGGCCCTGACAGCAAATATGCATGCGCATTGAAAAATGAAGATTGTTTAGACTTTAGACACGGCTTTAGACTTCAGAGGAAACCCACGCAATACTGGCAAGCTTCCAAATTGTTTGTGTGCCAATCAGAACACTGCGTGTATTTGTATCTCGTCGTTCATTGGCTCCTGTCTGTGGGTTTATAGTGCTA